AATGAGAAATGATCTCTCATGTTTCTGAGAAGAAACAGAAGAGAGAAGTGATAGAAAGTGAGGGAAACAGAAAATAAATGAGAAAAAGAAGGAAAATGGAATAAAACAAGGAAAGAGAAAAACATGGAAAGCAAGAGAGACGGACAGATAAATAAGTTAAGAGAGAGAAAGAGAGAGTAGAAAGAGAAAAAGAAAGCGAAATACTTATGTCAGAAGGGAAGTAAGAGAAAGAAAATAAGAGACGAAAACTAGTGGAAGAGATAAAAAAGAAAAAAAAAATATGAGAAAAAAATAAAAAAATAAAAGTTACAAAAATAAACAAACATAATAGTTCCCTTTTCCCCTCTCTATATTTCCTTATTTCCTCAACTCATCTTTCTGAGGAGAGGAAATAGAAGAGGGAGATGATAGAAAATAACGGAAAAAAGGTCATCTTTCTGAGGAGAGGAAATAGAAGAGGGAAATGATAGAAAATAACGGAAAAAGGTCATCTTCTGAGGAGAGGAAATGAGATGATAGACGGGAAGTCTGAGGAGAGAAATAGAAGAGGGAAATGATAGAAAATAACGGAAAAAAGGTCATCTTTCTGAGGAGAGGAAATAGAAGAGGGAGATGATAGAAAATAACGGAAAACAACAACAACAAAAAAGATGCGAAATAGAAATGTCAGAAAGGAACTGAGAAAAAAAGATAAAAAATCAGAAGGAAAATTGGGACATAGAGGAAATACAAACAACCCCATCATCAAAAAAAGAAAGTGAGAGATAAAGTAAGGAAGAGATCAGCACGAAAACAAGGAAAAGAGGAAAAGAGATAAAGATAGAACAAGAAAACGAGAATGGATAAGAGTAAGGCGAGGGGAAGCGAGAGAAAGAGGGATAAATGTTGCAATTAAAACGAGAAATAAAAATAATAAAATGAGAAAACGAAAATAAAGAAGCACGAGAGAGAAAGCGAGAACGACCGTTCGATTCCCACGCCCCTTCACGCCCACGTTGCATGGGCGGGCGTGTGTTGCAAGCTCGCAGAGAGAAAGAGGAAGGACAGGAACGGAATGCAAGGGGACAGTAGCTCTCTCTCT